AGCGGGTTCTCGCGTCAACGAACGGGAGCGTGTACTGCTCGTCGTCGAGCCCGCAGTGGCCAACGACAAGGAAATCGCTCTACACTTTGTGCAGCTTTGGGTAGCGGTTAGTCCCTGGTTCAAGAAGGAGGAACGGTTGATGGCAGAGCGTAGCTTTGGGGCAGACGATGCAGTTGCGCGGCTGTGTCGTGCTTCTCATCTTGGTGTCATCATGCCGCAGGAGAGCGCTAGGTGCGAAGACACCTGCGTCGAGGCAGTTTTTCAACGTTGCGCGCGAGGGGTGACCGAGGCGCTGGTGCCAAAGGTCGTCATTTGTGCGAAATCCGGTGGTGCGCATGTAGCGCGCGCGCGCACTATCTCAGGGTCTTCTTTTGGTGCTGGGGCAGGTTCTGCTGCTGCTTCTTCAGCTTCCTCTTCGTCGCTCGTCGTCGTCAGCATCAGCGCCAAGTATTCTCTGTCACGAATCACGGAAAGTGGGATGTTTTTCCCGGGGATTGTGCCGGGGAAGTAGGTAGGTTCGCGCGGCTCGGGACCGGGTCTGTAGACTGTGCGACGCTGTGTTGACGGTTCGTTCCCCCAGTCGATGGTGTCCCACGGATCTTGGTGCGGCTGTATGTCAGGTGGGGGTAACGCAGGTGCGGGAAGGCGCGGGGGGCGGCCAAGAGGAACAACGCGCGGTTCGGCTTCTGCTCCCCTCCTTTGTTCTTCTCGCTATGCGCTCCAGCCCTCACCGGAAGTGCCCCATCCGCTGGTGTTGCCGCTAGTTGCTGCGCCCCAGCCGCCAATGTCGCTCGTCCCCCATCCGCCAGTGCTTCCCCACCCCCCGTCGTTGGAGGCGCTCTCTTCCTCCGCTCCCCAAGCAGCGTAGGCGAACGTTCCGCGTGCTTCTGCGAGGCTTTTGCAGTGAATTTCTTTGGCTTCACGGCGCGCCAGCTCCTCTTCTTGTTCCACGGTAAGTGTTGTTCTGGGGTCGCGCCAGTGGGGGTACTGCTTTATGAATTCTTCGATGGTCTAGGGGCGCGCCACTCCCCGTGCGTCGATGGTTCCGCGGCGCTGTCCGCGTAAGATGTTTTCGAGCCGCTGGGAGGGGGAACCCGCAAGTGGGTTCTGAGTGCTGCCGAGCACGTGGTGAGAAACCACTTCCAGCTCCAACGCCGACATGCCTTCTTCTAGCGGCGCGGTTCGTTCAGCTTCGGCTATGGCGGCGAGACCACGGCCGGCGATAGCGCTCGTTGAGGCAGTGGGCGTGTGACAATCCCTGCAGACGCCGTCTGGGTCAGGGTCGTATAGTGCCAGCTCACGCGGGTGTGGGTGATGTGGCACCCATGGCCTGCCGTCAGGGTGCTTCCAGTCCAAGCGACGGATGTGCTCGAATCGCAGTGGAACGAGATCGATTAGCTCGTTCGAGTCGCCGCTGCAGTCGGGAATGTCAAAGTCGAGGATGTACACCCCATTCTTGGAGTGCTATCGTCCCATCTGCCTTCGCGTTTGTGTCGGCGACGAGTAGTGCAGCAGGATGTCGCGTGTGCGAGGATCCGTGCTTAGTTTGACGCTGCAATCTATGAGTTGAGCGGCGGATAGCAGATTCAAGCGCAGATTCAAGACTATGAGCACATCATTCAGCGTGACTTGAGCACGACGATTCCTTGTGCGCTTGCGCGCAGGCGGGTATTGTTCGCCACGGTGACACAAGTGACTATGGGGGTTGGGACGGCGTTGGAGACGAAAGCTCAGAGCCCACCATGTGCTGGCCGCAAACAGCTGTCCAGGATCCAGGTGTTGTAGCGCTTATTGTCGTCATGGGCGAGCAGCGCCAATCGCGGCATGTCGATGTGCGGTGTGTCGAATTGAAGGAATTGTTCGTGCGGGATCCAGTCGATCGGTGTTGCCCGCGAATCAGGTATGTGCGGGGGGCTTTCAAGCAGCGGGACTGGGAGATTCCAGTCTTGCTCGTCGTCCTCGTTGAAGTAGTGGCGAATGGTGAACGGATTGTTGTCCGTGAAAGCCCCGATTGGATGGCGTGCTGGCTCGGGTGATGGCGCGCGTACGCGGCGACGGCGAGATCCACTCGTCATGGTCATGTTGCCGATGACGTTGCGGGCTGGAGCAGGCGGTGACGGCTGCCGCCGCTGATGCTGAACTGCTGGGTTCAAGCTGCGCGATAAGGGTTGGTACCCCTGGGCTTGACGCGTATTGTTTCGTGCGTCTTGTCGGCCGGACCAGGTGCTCGGATTGGTCTGGCGAGGGCGAGATCAAAATTTGCATCGATCTGCTAGGTGCCCGAAGATTATGCAGATTTTGGAGTCGAGGCGCCGCGGCCGTCCCTCTTCCGTGTTGTCCGCTTAGAAGGCGAGGCGTTCCCTGTCTCGTCGCGGCGCTGGTCATTGCTGATCCATGTCTCTCTGCTCGACGAGAGGGGCGGCGCATAGGGCGGCTTCCGAGATAACCCCCTACTGTCGGAGAAGCGCCTTGCAGGGCCGCCACTCTGGGCCAAGCCCTTGAAGCCCTTGAAGCACGAAGATTTCTTCGGAGATGCTGCTTCCCAGTGTCGCGATTTGATCGCGTAAGCTCCGACAGCGATTAACGTAGCTGTTGGCCTTCTCCCGTGGGGCTATTTTCGTCTCCAGTAGCTGTTGGAGCAGGCGGCTCGATGAAACTGAATCCTTCGGTTGGTAGACACCGTTCAGATGTCGCCAGGCGTCGAGGGCTGGGGCGGATGATGTCTTGTACGACCAGATACTCAGCTGCTCCGCCGGCGACATGTTTCGCAGTAGAACGTCGTACGTCATCAGGGGCTCGTTGTAATATTGCGCCCTGGCGTCGGCGGTGTCTTCAACAGGTCTCACGTAGCTCCCGTCAAAATAATGAATTATCTGCGCGTTTTGCAGCAGCAGCTCCAGCTCGAAGCTCCACGTATAGAAGTCTCTGCCGTCAAAGCACACACTTGTCTTTATTTTTTATATACTCAGGAACCTCGATTGCGTAGAGAGAAATGCTTCTTTGCTGGGACGGGGAGTCTTGGGAGTTGAGCCATTCGTTTCGAGGGAGAAGGTGTGCGGGGCGGTATTCTGGCCATTCGAGGCCGATTGAGAGGGTTGGGAAGATGTTCTCGCGTCGCCATTCCGCAATGTTTGGAGCCCTTGCTCCAAGTTTGTGAGTCGCAGAAGCAGTTTTTCGAGGACGGCGGTTCCAATTGTCGTCGTCGCCTCGTTTGTCGCGGGCGGGTTGGGCTGCGCTTCAGCTGTCAGATTTGTCTAACCTCCAGATCCACAGTCCATTCTTACGCGCGAGCATGTGCCGGATGCCACTTTAGATCGCCGACGATTTCGGGAGGTGGCGTTGCGAAGGATTCATGGGTCGCTCTGATACCATGCTGCGATCAGGAGTTGATCGAAACCACCATCACCTCATGAAAGTTCGCACAAAGTAGGTGTATTGGTGGTGGGCCCTTGACCTCGAGTCAGAGTGAATGTAAAATGATCGAGATGATTAAAACATGCAAATACCGTACAAGCATAAAAATGTAGTACAGGGGAATACCAAACGTCATAGCTAGCCATGTACTCTAAGGGGTACATTCCCTTATTCAAATTCAAACCCAACCGTGCGGCGCGTGCAGGTACGAAACTGTTCCCGCCAATTTCCTTGCTCCTGCAGCTGCCGGATGGCGTTTGTTTCCGACGGTCCAGATCCATTCCAACTGTCCGCTCGCTTCGAGTCAACCCTGACTGTTCGTTTCCAGCTTCGATACTGTGAGCTTCATTTGCTGCTGTCAGGAGTGCACACTGCTCTTCTTAATTCATCATTCGTAACAAAATCCTCCTAAACTTTGAGCATATATATGCCACTCTAAAGCTCTTCCGTCATGTTACACTATGTCGACCAATGTCACATTCTGAAGTCAAATGGTCAATATGTGCCTTTAGTACTCTTTCCCTCAGCTGTCCCCCGTGCTCTCTTATCCATGCCATTATGCTAGACACTGTTGTCTCAAACGGGCGAGGGCTGAAGGTTGAGAGCCTATTCAACCCTCACTCATGTCCATCTCAATTACCTATGCTTAGTCCGTCCTTCAACTCTCTCCTGTGCTCTCTCATCTCAACCATGCCACTGTGTCAGCCACGCTCGTCTCGTATGGCCGAGAGGCGAGGGGCTGAAATGTTGATCCTGTCTATCTCTGTCTCCTATAATCAATCCCTCAACTCTTCCCTGTGCCGTGCCACTGTGTCAGCCACTGCTGTTTCAGTGAGGGGAAAGAAAGGAGAGAGGATGATGTTGACAGTCTCAACAAAAGGAGAGAGAGTGGGTGGTTAATAAGTGCAAAGATTTGACAGTTGAAGACTTTAAGAAGTTGACAAAAGATCCTGCAGTGGGTACCAGTAGTCACTAGGGGCTTGAGCAAACGTGCGGCTTGCAGTGAAGGTTGTGGAAAAGAGAGATTCCCTTCGACTGAATTTCGAGTGCAAGGAAGTGTTTGGACGGAATCTCCTTATTCATTTTGTTTTTTAGGGCAGAATATTATTGAAACTCGTAATGGGTCTGAGTGCACACATCCACATCAGTTTCCTATGCCACCATACCACCCCACCCTGCCATACACTTCAGCCCACCCCACACACACATGCACCGCCTAACCCCCTCACACGCACACTCACACACACACACACTACCCCCAACTTCGTCACACACATGCAGTACCCCAAGAAACCCTACCCAGCTACTCAAGAGAAAGGCAAACAAGATTGGTGAATGCCTCAGGAGGCAGACCAACCAGCTGGATATCCCAAGCACTACAGAAGCTGCCATCACTCCCTCTTGCAGGTCAACTGCTTTCGATGTGACTTCAAAAGTTGCCTCAGCAGGCAGGCCCGACCAGCTGGATTTCCCCAAGCACCACAGAAGCTGGCAGGCATCACTGCCTCTTGCCCGTCAACTGCTTCCGTTCAGCATGATGCAGCTCTGAAGGCCCTAGCACCACCGCCACGTTGCCAAGCTAGCAGCTAGCGCAATCTTGGTAGTTCCATCGTGGTAGCACCACCAGAGTCTGCCCCAACTGCTCCGGTATGGCTGGATGCTCAAACCCCAGGCGCCACACCACACCACGCCACACCACGTTCCTATTTACGCAGCCGCTGCAACCTGCGGCGGCTGCTCTACTGCATACTGCTGCTGTTCTGCAGCATACTGCTGCTGCTCCACTGGATACTGCTGCTGCTCCGCTGGATACTGCTCCGCGCCCCCGCCGGCGCTTGCACCCTTGCTATTAATCCGCCGGAACGCGGCTTGCTTTGCGCCGAGCAGGAGAGTGCCGCCACCTGCTGCCGCTGCCCCTGCAAATCCGCCCATTGTGAACCCTGCAGCCGCATTCATCATCGCTTGCTGGCCTCTCTCCTGCACCGCCTCCCTGGCAATGTCCTCTGCCGTGCGCGCCGCGCTCAAGGCCTTGTTCTTCAGATCATTATCCTTTGCGAACTTCTCAGCCTTGTCTTTGACAATAGCAGCACCCTTCTTGACATTGTGCTTGGCTTTCTCGACCTTGCTCTTGGCGGCATCGACATTGTTCTTGACACCACTCACGACGCTGTTTCTGGCGGCATCGACCTTGTTCTTGCCAGCATTAACCGTGTTCTTGACACCACCCACTACGCTGTTTTTGGCAGCATTAACCTTTTTCTTCGCAGCATTGACCCTGTTCTTGATACCACTCACGACTCTGTTTTTGGCGGCACCTACCTTGTTTTTGGCGGCATTTACCTTGTTCTTAGCAGCATCGACCGTGTTCTTGACACCCCTCACGACTCTGTTTTTGGCGGCACCTACCTTGTTCTTGGCGGCATTTACCCTTTTCTTGGAAGCATCGACCGTGTTCTTCATCGCGGAAAAGGTATTGCGGAAAGGCTGCAAGAAACTTGCAGAAAAGTTACTTTCTAGTTATGGTGTTAGCCCGTTCCGCAACATTCAAGTCAAGGTCAAAAGCATCGGACAGTTGGGGTGATTTGCGCTGTTCATTTGTCGAGCCGCGAATTTCCCACCAATTCAGCACAGATTGTACGCATGCGCTTCGTTTCCCAAGGCGCGGAAACCAAATTTGTGAAGTGGGGGTGGTTGCCATTGGGTGTTTCGAAATCGAAGCAAGACATGCGCGGCTCGGTTACCCCTTGTATCCGAAATGCGCGGCTCGGTTACCACTTGTATCCGAAGTGGGGGTAAGTTGCAATTTTCATGTGGGAGCTTTTCGGATACCTTCCGCAACGTATCCGCAAGTTTTCAGCAGCAAGGTATCCGAAAACCATCTTTTGGCCAAAAACCTTTTCCGCGATGTTGACACCACTCACGACGCTGTCCTTGGCGGCCTCTACCTTATTTTTGGCGGCATCGACCGTGTTCTTGACACCACTCACGACGCTGTCCTTGGCGGCCTCGACCTTGTTTTTGGCGGCATCAACCGTGTTCTTGACACCACTGACGACTCTGTCCTTGGCGGCCTCTACCTTATCGACCGTGCTTTTGACACCACTCACGACACTGTCTTTGGCGGCCTCTACCGTGTTTTTGGTGGCATCGACCGTGTTCTTGACACCACTCACGACGCTGTCCTTGACGGCCTCCACCTTGTTTTTGGCGGCATCAACCGTGTTCTTGACACCACTCACGACGCTGTCCTTGGCGGCCTCTACCGTGTTTTTGGCGGCATCAACCGTGTTCTTGACACCACTCACGACGCTGTCCTTGGCGGCCTCGACCTTGTTTTTGGCGGCATCAACCGTGTTCTTGACACCACTCACGACGCTGTCATCACAAAAAACCCGAGTCAGGGTTGGAGGATCCGAGGTTGAATTCAAGGTAATTTGCCAGGCTCGGTTTTCCGATCGATTTCCAACCCTCAAGCATATCGCTTTTCCGACGGAAATCCACTCGCCTGGTTTTGTTTTGCACGAGGTTAAGAGGCAAAACCGAGTCGCGCGTAAGAATGCACGGGCTGTCCTGATTTCCAGCGGATTTCGATCGGAAAAACAGGGAGGGCAGGGGGAACAAGTGATATATTTAGAATGCGTACACTTCGCGTCACACTTGATGAAAACAGTCATTTCTATTCTTATGATTCTTACTTTTAAAAGCTGTTTCTATTCAATAGGTTATCATCCGAGAAATTAATGCAGCAAGCTATTTACATGTTTTTTATGTTTTACAACCGTTTTTAAGGTGGACGTATGTTCTATAAAGGTTTTTTTTTTTTTGTTTTAACGTGCCATGTTGTTGCGAAAGGACAAAAGAAGCAACATCATTCTTGTCAATAGTATACATAGCTACATTATATATTTGTTCATGTAGTATACATCACCATCAGCCCCATCAAAGGACTTCACTACATGAACATGGCCTAGAATAGAATCGATAGGGATAACGGTGAATGCGCGGGGGGTGTACAGACCCAAGCGCACACATCCAGTCCTTGGGTCATTGCCCAATTTCCTGTAGTAATCCACGTATGCAAGTTCATGGCGCTGCCCATCTTGGAAACAATGAAACAACAACAGCAGCTTTGCGTAGGCCACAGTCTCCCCCTCACAGCAAACAGCGATGTCTGAAAACCAGGGCCTCTTGTGGCACTCGGGAGTTGCTCTCACAAAATGAGCAACTCTTGAGGCGTTTGATGCATTGGATGCTGGCACTGCCAATGTTGTATGTGTCTGCCACAACACCACACAATAGACATAAGTATATGTACGTGAAAGAGTCGCACGGTAAGAATAGTTGGGAGGGCATAATATGGCGAGAGAGAGAGAGAGAGAGAGAGAGAGAGAGAGAGAGAGAGAGAGAGAGAGAGAGAGAGAGAGAGAGAGAGAGAGAGAGAGAGAGAGAGGAGAGAGAGAGAGAGAGAGCAGAAAGAGAGAGAGAGAGAGAGAGAGAGAGAGAGAGAGAGAGAGAGAGAGAGAGAGAGAGAGAGAGGGGGGGGAGGGAGAATGGAAGGGAAGGCGAGGGAGAAGGGCAAGAGACAGCAACGCTATCAACACCATCACTACATACTTGAATGGTTGGCGAGGTAATGCCGTAATCTGCAAGGGCATGACTCAGAGCTCTGTGTGCACGCGGGTGCTGCTGCGACCACCGTGATGCAAAGAATTTGGCCGATGTCGGGTCACTTGCCGGAGAAACAGCAAGTGCTTCTGATTCCCTCGTCAAGACTGGCCGCCCCGAGTCCATTGCCTATGAGTGAGTTTAGGAGGGGAGGGAAATAACCATTCAGGAATGCGAATGGAATGAACTCAACTGTGGCAAGAAGGGTGGGTGAAGGCATGGGAGGGCAGTGATGTTGAGCAAGGCATCAGAGGGTGGAGAGGATGATGATGGCATGGAATGGCATGGAGATTGATGGAGGCGTGGGAAGGGCAGACATGGCGATGGTGGCATGGGATAACAAAGACGTTGATGGTGGCATGGGAGGGCAGATATGTTGATGGCATGGGAGGGCAGATATGTTGATGATGGCATGGGAGGGCAGATATGTTGATGATGGCATGGGAGGGCAGATATGTTGATGATGGCATGGGAGGGCAGATATGTTGATGATGGCATGGGAGGGCAGATATGTTGATGATGGCATGGGAGGGCATGGATGTTGATGATGGCATGGGAGGGCAAGGATGTTGATGATGGCATGGGAGGGCAGGGATGTTGATGATGGCATGGGAGGGCAGGGATGTTGATGATGGCATGGGAGGGCAGATATGTTGATGATGGCATGGGAGGGCAGGGATGTTGATGATGGCATGGGAGGGCAGGGATGTTGATGATGGCATGGGAGGGCAGGGATGTTGATGATGGCATGGGAGGGCAAAGATGTTGATGATGGCATGGGAGGGCAGGGATGTTGTTGATGGCATGGGAGAGCAGATATGTTGATGATGGCATGGGAGGGCAAAGATGTTGATGATGGCATGGTAGGGCAGGGATGTTGATGATGGCATGGGAGGGCAGATATGATGATGATGGGATGGGAGGGCAGGTATGTTGATGACGGCAGTGGGATGGAAAGTTCAACTTACTCGTGGCTTGGGAGGGGAGGTGGATGATGTCTTGACAGGGGAAATCAAATTTGTTCATGGTTTGGGAGGGGAAATCAAATTTGTTCATGGTTTGGTTAGTCTCGCCTCGGCACATCATGGTCCCAGCTCGCTGTTTTCGCCGCACATTCGGAAATGCATTGCGATCCCAGTAAGTCTCTGAGACGCTGATCTTTCACGATGCAAACTGTATGCGCAGAAGTAGTAGCAATAATCGCGCATCATCTGCAGCAGGAGATCCGCCGTGGTTTGCGCGCAAGTCGAGTTGAGGAGGGGTTTCTTGCCAGGGGTGGGCCACGTGCTGGAGTTCTTTCCCCAGTGGACATTGAGGGTGCGCTGAAGATAATCGCGCACTGACTGGAGCAAGGTTGGCGGGAACATTACAGTGCCAAATTAGCGTTCCCAAAGGTGGGTGGGGTAGGGTGAACAAGTGTGTGTAGGTGTGGTGCTGTTGAGCGGAGCAATGTTGGCTGCATCGCGTCGCACAATCCACGGGACCTCTCGCCGCATCATGCGGCGATAGCGGAACTTGCGCTGTCCGTACTTGCGTCTCGCCAATTATTGCCGAACAAAATAATGCAACACGAAGTTATCCAAGAACACGGATTATCACCTGTTTTATATTTTTAATTTATCAGTAAACATTATTTATTAAAAAAAAACCTCAAATACTTATTTTCATATCAGGTTCATGAAAGTTGCTTCAGACGCCTCTTTCGGCCTAACATCTGTGAAATCTGCTGCGATCAGGAGTTGGTCGTAACCATGATCACCTCAGGAAGGTTAGCACAAAGTAGGTGTATTGGTGGTGGGCCCTTGACCTCAATTCAGAGTGAATGTAAATACAAACATTAAGTAGTAGTACATGGGAATACCAAACGTCCTGGCTAGCCATGTACTCTATGTCAAACATATATGCTGCATATTGTCTAGGCTGTAGTGGGGTAGCCCATATGGGGTACAACCCAATTAGGGTTTACTACTTGTACTCCTGCATGCTGTTAGTTCATCATTCCTGCTGCTAGATTCTAACATGGTTTCAGAGCACTAAGGTCCGTAGGACCGTTTTTTTTTTTTCGGGCCCACCTACCGCTGCGGTTACCGCGCTACCCCACGTACCTGCCTGCCTTGCCTTGCCTTGTGACGTGCTGCACTACGCGAGCCGTCCAGCAGCCCTAGTGCTGCCTCCTGCTGCCCTAGGCCAGCGCGCTGCCCCTAGAGGCCCGTAAGGCCCGCGCGCCGCCCCTACACGCCCTTCAGGCCCGCGAACAGCCCGCACCGAGCCGCGCGCAGCCCGCTGCTGCCGCGCGCTGCCCGCACCGAGCCCGCGCAGCCCGCACCGAGCCCGCGCAGCCCGCACCGAGCCGCGCGCAGCCCGCTGCAGCCGCGCGCAGCCCGCACCGAGCCGCGCGCAGCCCGCTGCTGCCGCGCGCAGCCCGCGCCGAGCCCACGCAGCCCGCGTCGAGCCGCGCGCGGCCTGCTACGGCCTCGCGAGGCCCGTGCGCCGCCCGCAGCAGCCAGCGCCGAGCCGCGCGTGGCCTGCTACTGCCTCGCGCGGCCCGCGCGCGGCCCGCAGCAGCCCGCGCCGAGCCGCGCGCGGCCCGCTACTGCCTAGCGCGGCCGCGCGCGGCCTGCAGCAGCCCAGCGCGCTGTCAGCGCAGCCCGCGCCCTGCAGCTGGTTGAGTGGTACCTTGGCCGTCAGGGCCGCGCTGCTGGAGGTTCTGGAGCTGCTGAGGGTACTGACGCTGGGGGTTCTGGAGCTGCTGAGGGTGCTGGCGCCGGAGGTTCTGGAGCTGCTCGAGGGCCTGGTCCTGGTAGCGCTGGAGCTGGAGGTTCTGGAGCTGCTGAGGGTGCTGGCGCTGGAGGTTCTGGAGCTGCTGGAGGTACTGGTGCTGAGGGTGCTGGCCTAGGAGGTTCTGGAGCAGTTTGGAGTGCTGGTGCTGAGGGTTCTGAGTCTGCTGTTGCGCGGTCTCCTTGGAGTAGCCGCCTTCGTCCACGTGTGCCTCTCACCTCTCAGCAGCTGCACGACTGGTACGGTCGCCGTTAGGGTCGCGCTGCTGGAGCCCGGGGCTCTGCTGCTGGAGGTACTTCTGCTGACGTCCCTGGAGCTAGGAGTGGTGCTGGTACTTTGTCTACTGGAGGTGCTGGAGCTGCTGGAGGTACTGGAGCTGCTGGAGCTGCCGGTACTGGTGCAGCTGCGCCGACACGACTGTTCTTCGCTCCGCCGTCTCCGTCGTCTCTGCCGCCGCCTGACTCTGTTCTTCGTCAGGTTCTTACTCTCCCGTCGTCTACTGGTCTTCCGTTACAGCCTGGCTCACCGCTGCCTGCTCCTTCTCCTTACGCTGAGCAGACAGGTAGTCTTGCTGAGCGTCGTGAGCCTGCGTCGCGTCCTGTCTCACCTGTTGGTCCTAGTTATACCGGTCGTCGTGTTCCTCGTCCGCGTCAGCCGGCTGTCCCCGGCACACGCCTTGTAGCCCTGCGTCGGTCCCCTACTCCGGAGCGTACTCCTCTTCCGTCTCCCCCTGCGTCCTCTTTGCCTGACGTCGCGGACCCTGAGTCTGACCGGTTTTGTGCTGAGCACCCTACTGTCACGCGTCTGCTAGCCACTGTTGTCACTGACTCGTCGTTTGAGTCTGCTGCTGCGTCTGCCCTGGTCGCTGAGCTTGTTGACTTTGCTGCTGCCTGTCGTCTAGACTACGCTGCTAGTCTTGTTGCTGAGTCTGAGTCTGTCTGTCCTCCGTCCGTCGGGGGTGAGTGTGCCCTTGGCACGGACGTCCTTGAGGACAGGCACGAGGACCTTGAGTGTCTTGCAGCCGCTGCGCCTCATCTCGTGGCCATGCTGCTTGCCCCTGAGGGAGACCCGGATGCTATAGACATCCCCACACCGCGCTCTTACGCTGAGGCGATCGCGGGTCCCTACTCCTCTCAGTGGCAGGCAGCCATGGACGCAGAGATGGCATCCTGGAAGTCCACAGGCACTTACGTCGATGAGGTTCCCCCTCCCGGGGCGAACATCGTCGATGGCATGTGGATTTTCAGGGTGAAGCGGCCGCCAGGTTCTCCGCCTGTCTTCAAGGCGCGTTACGTTGCTCGAGGCTTCAGTCAGCGAGAGGGAGTTGACTTCTTCCATACCTTCTCCCCTACCCCGAAGATGACTACTCTTCGGGTGCTGCTGCACGTTGCCGCTCAGCGTGACTACGAGCTTCACTCCCTTGACTTCAGCACAGCTTTCCTACAGGGCAGCCTGCACGAGGAGATCTGGCTGCGCCGCCCACCTGGCTTCACTGGGACGTTCCCTCCTGGTACCCAGTGGAGCCTCCGCCGGCCAGTCTACGGTCTCCGCCAGGCACCCCGTGAGTGGCACGACACACTGAGGACTACCCTTGCGGCTCTTGGGTTTGCGCCTTCGACTGCTGACCCTTCACTGTTTCTACGCACCGACACTTCGCTGCCGCCGTTCTATATCCTCGTGTACGTCGACGACTTGGTCTTTGCTACTGCTGACACTGAGGCCCTCGCCCTGGTGAAGTCCGAGCTGCAGAAGAGACACACGTGCACAGACCTGGGTGAGCTGCGCAACTACCTTGGCTTGCAG